GGGCTTAGACCCTTCGTGTCCAGGGGTCCAGGGGAGCCCGCAAGGAACGCCAAGCTTTGTTTCAGCGGGTATGACTCTGCCACCGGTTAAGAAGGAAACTGGGAGACATCCGCCTCAGGAAATAATGCTAGTTCTCTGAGCGCTTCTTGAATGCTGGGTGCTGGACCACGCAGGCTACATTCCTTCCCTCTCTGAGCCCGCACAATGCCCTGCTTGGAGATGAGGGGCCCTTTGCTGAGGACCACAGATCTGGCACACGACGGAGACCAGATCTGAGCTCAGGTCTAGCAGAACTTTAAAGCCACTGGCTGTGCTGCCCTTGAGCACTGGCCAACCCAGGCAGGTCCTGACATCGTTCCTTATCTTCTAGAATCTAAGCAAATTTATGGAGCTTTCCCTGGGTGCCTGGCAACAGCAGGCAGGATTTCTTCCGAGAAATCCACCAGGACCAGCAAGAAAAGTATCGAGTCCATTCGACGGGATGGGGACAACCTCTCCTGAAAGCTGGAGTGAAGAGGAGTGATGTGTTTGGAGTGGCCGGGAAGCAGGAGACCACGGGGACCTGCCAGGATCTCTAGGCCCATCAGAGTCTTCTATTTGTACTTTTGAATGCCTTATAACAACAATAGCTAAGGCCAGGCGTGGGGGCACGTGCCTGTAGTCCCAGCTACTCAGGAGGATGAGGCGGGAACATCGCTTGAACCCCGGAGGTGGAGGCTGCAATGAGCCGAGACTGGGCCACTGTACTCCGGCCTGGGCGACAGACCAGCTAAGGACCCCGAGCCTGTGTTCTGTCTGAGCTGGAGCGATCACTGGCCTGGGGCTCTTCCCGCGCCAAATCCTAGGGCTGCTCCCAAGCGGGCTTGCAGGGAGCCCCGGAGCCGGCTGGCAACCGAGCTCCTGACCCGGCCCCACCTCCCCAGTCCTCAGTTGCAAATGTAACAACTTGCAACCCGAGACGCCGGGACCGGAGGCGGGAGGCGGACCTACCTGGAGTCGGAGGCGACGGGATGGGGGCGGAGGGAGGCACCTGGGGGAAGCCCGGGGGAAAGAGAGGAAGAGGGTATATCTGGAGGCAGGCACGGCCTCGCGGACGGAGGTGGCACCCGCGCAGCGCGCGGCTGGGACTCGTGCGCTGCCCGGGGCGCGGCGCTTACCCGGTTGATCTCGGCCAGCCTCCTCTCCTGCTGGGCTTTGAGCAAGCCGAACGCCTTCCCTCCTGGAGGAGACAAAGAGGCGGCCCGGGAAGCGGGGTCCTCTCTGGGCCACGCGCCCCCGTCCCCGTGCGGTTCCCGCGCGCGGTGGACCCTGCGGTCCGCCAGGCGCGCACAGGTGGCGGCCCCGGGACGGCAGCACCTACCTTGGAACCTGTTGCTGAGCGCGACCGACATGGCGAGCGCAGGGCTACCGCCGCCTCCAGGCTTCGTGGACTCGGCGAGGGACTGGGAGGAGGCACAGGCGCTCGGTCCGAGCTCCGGCTGGCTGCGTGTGGCCGCGGGACCGAAGGGCGGAGGGACGGCGCGGGCGGCCGACACACCCCTCCCTCCGCTGCCGGCCCCTCCCTCCCTCCCTCCGGCCCTTCCCTTCCCTCCCCTCCCGCCTCCCTGTCCGCGGGCATCAAAGCCGCTATTATGCGGGACGCGGAGCCCGCCGGCCGCCCCTCTGCTGGAGGACGGGGAAAGTGCACAGCGCGGGCCGGCCGCGCCCCTCTTCTCTGCCCCTCCCCAGACCTCAGCGAGTCCCTGCCACAGAAATGAAATGCGAGAATCTTAGCATGAACTTCATGGGGTGGTTGAGAGGACCTAGTGCCGTCGGGGAGTCAGCAGCGCTCAAACAACAGGACTGCTGCGACAACAGGCCCCCTCAAAGCAATTGGAATGAACTCGTGTCTCGTTAATAAAACCATTTCTTGGACACTCACTATGGAACCGATTTCTGGGCAGCCGCAGGCACTTTGCACTGTGCACCAGTTATTTCATTCTTAAAACTCCACGAAATAGGACTCGGCATTCCCATTTCCAGAAGAGAAAAGTCAGGAAGCTGGACCTGGGGCGCAAGGCCACCAGGATGACAAACCAGCCCATGACTCCAGGAATAGCGAAGCTCGGGGCGCAGGTCTGGGTATCTGTGGCCAGGGTGGCTGTCAAATCTAATGTCCAAATCAGGACAGCCAGAGTGAATGGGGCACTCCTCATCATGATGCTGGGCTACAGGCGTAGACGGGCGCTGTCCCGGGCAGATGGCACTGGGAATGGCCCCACCGTGCACACAGAGCGGGCCTCCTCAGGATTACACCCAGGAAGTCTCCTTCCCAATGGACGTCTCGTCTCCATCAGACTCCTAGGTTTGGGACCCTGAAATCATTTTTTTTTTTTTTTTTTTTTTTTTTTTTTTTTTTTTTTTTTTTTTTTTTTTTACAGAGTCTCTGTTGCCTGAAGCTGGAATACAGCGGCTCTATCTCGGCTCACTGCAACCTCCGCCTCCAGGGTTCAAATGATTCTTCTGCCTCAGCCTCCCAAATAGCTGGGATTATGGTTACACACCACTACATCTGGCTAATGTTTGTATTTTTAGTAGAGATGGAGTTTCGCCGTGTTAGCCAGGCTGGTCTTGAACTCCTGACCTAAGATAATCTGCCTGCCTCGACCTCCCAAAGTGCTGGGATTACAGGCATGAGCCACCACACCCAGGCGAGATCATCTTGTTTTTTGTGGCTGTCCCAGGGGAGGGAAGTGGCCAGTGAGGAGCTGGGCAGAATGGGATGGGGCTGAGGTCAGGGCAGCAGTCCAGGGGGCAGGCCTCTCCTCCCCAGCGTGACCAGCTCCTGCCTCTCCTAGATGATGGTCCCCTGTCCATTTACCCAAGGGTTTGGATTTGGCCAAGCTGCATGATCTTGGGCGAGGCACTTGGCCTGCTGAGCTTCAGGCCCTGATCTTCAGAATGAAGTAACCCAGAACTCACTAAGCAGGGGCTTTTGTAACTTGGATGCCTTGCTGGATGGTTTAAGCAGAGAGTAGAACTTCCTGTTACCACCCTTGGTTGATGGGAGCTGACTTAGGACAGAGCCCTCATAATGCACTTCCCCCTCCAGGCTCCAGCAGCCTGTTGCCCTGGCCAGTTAGGCTGGTTGGCCCCAGTCAGCCATCCTGCAGGGCAAGGGCCACCCCACCTTCTCCTGCTCAACTGCTGAACTGCATTGCTAGCCAGATGTTCAACAGCTGCCGCATTCCACCCGGCAGCAGCCCCACTTCTGAGGCCGGAGAGTAGATCATGCACCAGGCATGATAAGACTGCGTGAGTCACAAGATGTCAGTCCTGAGTGCTCCACCCGTCGGGGATGCGGGGACTGGGCTTTGCGGAACCCACAGCTTGAGTGGATAATGGCTGAAAGCCAAGAGCAGGCAGCAGGGCGACTGTGTGCTGCCAGCCGAGAAAGCAGAGGGAGGAGTGAGGGGGACATCAGACCCTATCCCAGAGATCTTGGAAGAACCCCATCTTCTCGACATCATTTACACCAGACGCCAATCACCAGACTCACTGTGCAGCAGCAGCTCCCCGGCCTTCAGCCTCTCCACCTCTGCCCAGGCGTCTACCAAGTCACTCCATAGCTCGGCTTGATCATGCCAATCCCCCACCGTAGCCTTGATTTTATAGTTTTCTGTGGCGGAGCACGCCTCTGCTCTGAACACCGTCTCCCATTAGGTTGGGGGGAGTGGCACCCGTCATCATTATGTGGCCTTGGATCTAGAGATCCTCATTATCCTGAACAGGGGTTGGGGGGACTTCACCTAAGCTGCGAAGCTGGAATCAGGACAGAGTCACCAGCTTGTCTCTTGCAAGCATTGGATCTGATGACATGTACACCTGGGGCCATCAAGCGGGATGGCGGTTGTGGTGGGTGTCCCCTCCCATTGGGCACAAGCAAAGCAAAGAAAGCCACTCTGCAAAGAGAAAAGAATGGGCCAGGTGCAGTGGCTCACACCTGTAATCCCAGCACTTTGGGAGGCCGAGACAGGTGGATCACCTGAGTTCAGGAGTTCGAGACCAGCCTGACCAACATGGTGAAACCCTGTCTCTACTAAATATACAAAAATTATCGGGGTGTGGTGGTGTGCACCGGTAATCCCAGCTACTCGGGAGGCTGGGGCAGGACAATCGCTTGAACCCAGGAGGCAGAGGTTGCAGTGAGCTGAGATTGTGCCAGTGCACTCCAGCCTGGGTGACACAGTGAGACTCCCTCTCAAAAAATAATAATAAATGAAGAGAAAAGAAGGAAGCAGACACGGGAGAGGAGAGCAGAGACGGAGACCAAGAAGACAGGCGGGAGGGAGGAAGAGGGAAGCCAGTCTATGTCAGGCGCTCCTCCCTAGGCTATCTCCAACGCCTGGCCGCCTTTTCTACCCCAGGCTTCCAAGTGACCCTCCCAACACCCCTTTTCTGCTGAAACCACCTCCGGAGGGGTTTGAGGCTTGGGGCCAAGAACCCTAAGTGAGCAGCTCTAACATCCCACCCCATTCCACCTGGGTTCCTGGAGTGATGAGAGCTGGCCAAGACCCCACCCTGCGGGCCCGGACTGTTGTCCACCCTCTTGCCTGGACTGCTTCCTCTTCTACCTCCACACCTTTCAAGGCCTGACCCACACCCTTCCCGTCCCTGATGGTGCCCCTCCCTGCTCCTCGCTGTCCTCACACTTGGCTGAGTTCATCTCCAGCCTGAACCAGAGGTCAGCTGAGGGCCTCTCTGCACCTCACCCCTCCCACTCCCCAGTTCCTAGGCTTTTCGTGGTAAGTGCCTAAGAGGAGAGGGTAGGTACCTGTGGCCACAGGACCCCAGCAAAGCCCTCTAACGGACGTCCTGGCCCAGCCATGAGCTCAGCTTTTGCTACCTTCCTGCCGATGTCTGGTCCACACACTGGCCACCTACCAGGTGCGTGATGTGCGTACCCACAGCCAGGGCGCTGGCTGGCTGCCCACCAGCAGGGAGGATGAGGGGCACTGCCCTGCCCAGTAAAAGGGTCCTTTATTTCCACGTTAAACAGAATCAGTTTGTGCTGCTGCCCTACCCCTGCCCCTGTCAGGAAAGCCGTGGGTAGGGGCTGGGCCCGCAGAGGCGTCTGTCTTCCCAATGCCAAGGCCTTGCGGTCTGCTGGAAGAGGGCCCGGAAGAGGGGAGGGGTGCCAAGAGGAAATGCCGAGGAGTCCTGGGCTCGAGGGCCTGGCCACAGGGCGATTCCCAGGCAGGACAGACTGTAATGGCAGCCAGGCTTCCACACCCTTGCGACCTCCTGCATGGCAAGTGCTGTTGCAGGGCTGGTTTGGGAAGCATCAGTTAAAGGTCAGCTGGGTTGCTGGGGGCACAAAGGGGCGCTCCTGATGGCCTGGGCCCCCTGACCCAGGTGCTCTTGGGCTGGCTCTTGGGATCGATAACAGGCCAAAGTGAGTACAGGCCAGTGTGGGCCATTCCCTCAGGGCGTCTGGTGCAGTCCGGGGAACCCGAGAAGGAAGCATCCGGTGAAGCCCGTGACACCCCCACCAGGAGCGGGCCTTGCTCTAGCCAGACTAGCAGGCCTGGCCATGCCCTCAGGGCTCTCCGGGTCTCAGGTTCCACTGCTGAGAATCCTCCCAGAATCTTGCATTTCTTGGCCTGTTGGTCTGCTGGCTGTGTGGAGCTGCGGGGTGTGCACGCAGGGCCGGAGGTCGGGCAGCTGTCGTGAAACAGCGCAGCCAGCTCTGGGACTAGGGGCTTCGGCTCTTGCTGACAGCTTGATCTCTGCAGATCTGCTGAGATCTCCCTGTGGTCTGGAGTGAATGGATGTTGGCACCCCAGGGTATCTCCTGTAACAAGCTGCCCAGCATCCAGCCTAGCGCACAGGTGGCTCTCCCAACAGCTGCAGACTGTAGTGTGTGGACAGTAAGCTGTGGACTGGATGGACTGGACTTGAACGTGTGGGTCATACGCACAGACATGCACCCTCACGTGTGTATGTGTTATTGACGCCGGGGTGTGCCTATTTATGCATGTGCAGGGGTGGGAGTGTGCACCGATGCCCAGGTGAATTGACTGCGTACACTCAGTCCTCTGGCAGGGAAGAAGCCACAGACAGACTCAGCAGGGAGTGTGACTATTCGCTTGGGATCGAGTCCACAGCAGCCAGCTCCAGGGTGCGCCAGTATGGGCACACCTGTGGGGTAGTGTCCACACCCCGGTCATGTAAACAGCAGGTGGGGAGTGTGCCGGGGGTCTGGGCAGCCCTCACTGCCAACTGGCACAGTTCTCGGGCAGGCTGTGCAGAATGGCCTCCAGGTTCTGTTTGTCGGCACGGATCTCGGCGAGGCCGCTCTCAAACTCCTGGATCTGCAGCTCCTGCTGCTCGGATTCCTGCTCCAACAGCCTCAGTTTCCTCTGCAGGCCCCCCTGGGAGCCCAGCTGCAGCCTCAAGCGTTCCAGTGCCAACTGAGTCTCGTTCAGGGCCTGGGCTGGGGCTTGATGGGCATCCAGTGACCCTGCGGTGGGGCACAAACAGCCTCACTGTGAGCTGGCAGCCCTGCAGGCCCCAGGGCACCCCCCACACCCAGAGCCTCTCCTCAGCTCAGGCCTCCCAGGATTCCAACGGCCCACCATCTACCAGGGAAAGACAGGGACCCAGAGGCTGTGAGGTGGCTGAGGTCCCATGCCTCCCAATGGGCCCATGGAAAGACTGGAACATCCCCCTGGGTGGCACATTTTTGTTGATGGTTTTACTACTATTGTTTAAAAAAATGAAGGCCTTAGGTGAGTCCTCTCTGAGTCTCAGTTTTCTCATCTACAAAACAGCACGTGAGAGAGGCCCCTGTGATTTTCGCCGGCTGGAACGTGCTGGCTCAATTCACTGACAGCACACATTTACAGACGCTGCCTGTGTGCCTGGATGTGGGCAGCCCCTGCAGCAAATCACAGGGTCGCTGGCTTTAGAGCGAGAGGCTGGGAGGCAGCTGGAGCAGGGGCTGCAGGCCTGGAAGGCAGGCAGCGGGGTCTTAGCTCTGGCCCCTGCAGGTCTTCGCTCTGCTCCCTGGGGTTAAGGACTTCTCGGTATCTCCCCAAGCATCAACCCTAATCCTAACCCCATCCTAACCCTAACCCTAACCCTGGGGCCAGGCGATGACAGCCTGTGATCTAGCACTTTGGGAGGCCGAGGGAGGCAGATCATCTGAGGTCGGAAGTTTGAGACCAGCCTGACCAACATGGAGAAACCCCGTCTCTACTAAAAAATACAAAATTAGCCAGGTGTGGTGGCACATGCCTGTAATTCCAGCTACTTGGGAGTCTGAGGCAGGAGAATCGCTTGAACCCAGGAAGTGGAGGTTGTGGTGAGCCGAGATCGTGCCACTGCACTCCAGCCTGGGCAACAAGAGCGAAACTCTGTCTCAAAAAAAAAAAAAAAAAAAGAACTGCTAGCAATGGTTATGGAGTCGAATCTGCAGGCTGCCTCTCCCATCTAGTCCTTGTCACCTTGTCACTAAGTGTAACATTTAACTGAAAGACATAGTTCAGCCAGGTGGGAAAGCGATGGGAATGAGGAGATAAGTCCCAAGTGGCTGCTGCTTCCTTTTTTTTTTTTGAGACAGAGTCTCACTCTGTCACCCAGGCTGGAGTGCTGTGGCACAATGTCACCTCACTGCAACCTCTGCCTCCTGGGTTCAAGTGATTCTCTTGCCTCAACCTCTGAGTAGGTGGGATCACAGGCCTGCGCCACCACGCCTGGCTAACTTTTGTATTTATTTGTTTATTGAGACAGAGTCTCACTCTGTTGCCCAGGCTGGAGTTCAGTGGTGTGATCTTGGCTTAATGTAGCCTCCGCCTCTTGGGTTCAAGCAATTCTCCTGCTTCAGCCTCCCAAGTATCTAGGATTACAGGTGCCCAGCTAATATTCTGTATTTTTAGTAGAGACAGGGTTTCACCATGTTGGCCAGACTGATCTCGAACTCCTGACCTCAGGTGATCTGCCTGCCTTGGTCTCCCGAAGTGCTGGGATTAGAGGTGTGAGCCACCGCGTCCAGTCCCAAGTGACTTCTTCTAACCCCACAGGATTCCACTGGGCCCCATGGCTCCCTGAGGCCCTGGATTTCCTGGGCAAGCAGCTGCAAGCCCCAAGCCAGGGTGTAAGAGAAGGCAGAGGGGAGCCCAGGCCCTGCTGATCTGGGCAGACCTCAGGAGGCCCCACTGCTCACAGCCAAGTCCAAACAGCTTGGCTTTCAAAGAGATTCAGAAATGAGTTACAGGCCCCACTCTACCTGCCCAGGCCATCTAGGGCTCCTGGACCAGGGGCCAGGTGTGTGCTATTCATTCTGCATCCCCGTATGAAGCACAGGGCTGACACAGAGTGACAAGTGAATGAATGACCATGACAATGCAGGAATGGTTGAAGAGAGTGTCTGCTCCATGACAGGGCATTGGGTGTCAACCAATGGCTACCTGCATGCACTCTGAGTCACTTGGATCCGCAGGCGAGTCATGGCTTCCCCACCGATTGGCTGTGGGACCCTGGGCACATTATCTAACCTCTCTGTGCTAGGCTGGGTGTAGTGGCTCTCTCATAATCCTAGCACTTTGGAAACCTGAGGTGGGAGCATCCCTTGAGGCCAAGAGTTCCACACCAGCTTGGTTAACGTAACGAGACACTATCTCTACAAAAAACAAACAAAAGTAAAAAATAAAAATAAACTCTCCACACCTCAGTTTCCTCATTGCAAAATGGCAAAAGAGTATCTGTCCCTGCATGAAAAACTTCGTATGAAAATTCTGTAAGATGACGTGTTTGAATAGCTTAGTGTGGGTCTGGTGTCCAAAGTGCAGAGCATGGCAGTTCTCTCTCATCACGAATGATAATTGAAAATGCATGCTGCCACAGGTGAATCTTGATGACTCTCTGCTAAGTGAAATAAGCCCATCAAAACAGTAAAAATAAGGCAGGGCACGGTGGCTCATGCTTGTGATCCCAGCACTTTGGGAGGCCAAGGCAGGGGGATCACTTGAGCCCAGGAGTTCAAGACCAGCCTGGGCAACATAAGGAACATATGTTTTTATCTCAACAACAAAAATTAGCAGATTATGGTGGTACGTGCCTGTGGTCCCAGCTACTTTGAAGACTGAAGTGAAGGATTGCTTGACCCCAGGAGTCTGAGGCTACAGTGGGCCACCATTGCGCCACTGCACTCCAGCCTGGGCAACAGAGCAAGATCCTGTTTCCAAAAAAAAAGTTTTTTTAAGTACAAATACTGTACGATTCCAGTTATATGAGGTGCCCAGAGTAGTCAAATTCTTTTTTTGAGACGGAGTCTCACACAGTTGCCCAGGCTGGAGCGAAGTGGCGCAATCTTGGCTCACTGCAACCTCCGCCTCCCAGGTCAAAGCGATTCTCCTGCCTCAGCATTCTGCATAGCTGAGACTACAAGTGTGTGCCACCATGCCTGGCTATTTTTTTTTTTTTTTTTTTTTTTTGAAACAAAAGGCTTTTACCATATTCATTAGGCTGGTCTCAAACTCCTGATCTCAAATGATCCGCCTGCCTTGGCCTCTCAAAGTGCTGGGATTACAGGCGTGAGCCACCGCGCCTGGCCCAGAGTAGTCAAATTCACAGAGACAAAAGTAGAATGGTGGCTGCCGGGGCTGGCGGAGGGAAATGGGGAGTGAGTGTCTCTGGAGGACAGAGCTTCAGCTGGAGATGATGAAAGACCTCTAGAGATGGGTAGCGGTGATGACAGAACAGCAGTGAATGTACTTAACGATGCTGAACTGTACACTTCAAAATGGTTAAGATAGAAAATATTGGCCAGGTACAGTGGCTCACGCCTGTAATCCCAGCACTTTGGGAAGCTGAGGCAGGTAGATCATGAGGTCAGGAGATTGAGACCATCCTGGTTAACATGGTGAAACCCCGTCTCTACTAAAAATACAAAAAATTAGCTGGGCGTGGTGGCGCGCACCTGTAGTCCCAGCTGCTCGGGAGGCTGAGGCAGGAGAATTGTTTGAACACGGGATGCGGAGGTTGCAGTGAGCCGAGATCACACCACTGCACTCCAGCCTAGGTGACAGGTTGAGACCCTGTCTAGAAGAAAAAAAAGAAAAAAATATTATGTGTCTTTTAAAATTTGAAAAAACACGTGCTGTTCTTTTCTGCTCACTGTCCCATCTGCTGTCTCCCCAACACCGGGCTTCTGGGACCTTCATGCCTGGGGAGGTGCTATTCCCTTCATTCAAATCCCTCCTTGCTGAGGCCCACCTTGAATCTGACCTCTTTGTATGAGCTGCTATTTCCTCACTCTTAAAATACACCACGCACTGTGGTAAGAGCTTTCTAAATCACCCCACGGTGACTCCCATTTTCCAGATGGGGGATCTGAGGCTCAGAGAGGTGGAGTGACTTGCCCAAGGTCTAATGGCTAAAGAAGGAACAGAGCCAGACCTGAATCTTGGTCTGACTCCAAACCGGTGCCTGACGCCACACTTGCTGCCGTGACAGCCTTTCTTCTCCTGAGCCCTCAGCCCCCAAGGGCTGACCTGCTCACCCGTGCCTGTAGGTGTTCTTGCCAATGGTGAGCTTTCTGTGTGCCCCCTGCTCTGCCTCCAAGAATACAGGTCTCTGGAGGCACAAAGAGTGACTCAAAGTGAACTCACTTTTAGACACCAACCTCGTCTCATATGGCATAGAGGCCTGGGCGTGGTTACAAACGCTTGTCATTGAACATAAAGATGGGGCCATGGGAAGCATGGAGGTAAGGACAGGGAGGAAATCTTCCCCAGGATTGGAGCTCACAGGAAGATCCTAGAGGTGCCTCAGGGACCCAGGGGTTCAGGGCCCAGCCCTGGGGTCTCCTTACCCAGCCTGGCAAGCAGCTCTGACAGGGCCTCAATGTCCTTCTCCAGGGAGATGCGTGATTCCTGGATCTGCTGCTCCATCTCGCTCAGCCCAGCACCCACCTTCCAGAGGGAGGAGGGAGAAACAGCTTGAGTGGCGCCCCCACTGCTGCCGGGGGCAGGAAGTGATGGGGTGGGGGCCCTGGCACACGTACCCGTTCAGCTTCCTCCAGCTCCTGTCTGCGTGCTTCGGACACCAGAACCTGCCGGGATGCCTGCTGGAGCATGGCTTGCGTCTGGCTGGTGAGCCGGCTGGCACGGCGGTGCCCCTGTTTCCCCTCCCTCAGCAAGGCCTTGGCGAGCTATGGGGTGGGCGGCAGCGGAGGGAGAAGAGGTGAGTGCCGTAAGTCCTTTTGCAGGTAAATAGCTCTTATGGCAAGAATGCCAAGCAGTCGCCTGTACCAGGCAGATCCTTCATGCATGCATGCAACGAATATGTGCTGAATGCAGGCTAGGTACTGGGGCACAGTGCAGACTGCTGGATACCACCTGTTTCTCTCAGGAGGAGAAATTCCAACTATTTTACAGATGAGGAAACAGAGGCACAGGGGCTTGGAAGGGCTGGCCAAAGCCCAAGTGGCATGGGAAGAAGTCAAGCCTGGGGACCCCAACTGCAAATCCAGCATGTTCTCTAGGTGCCATAAAGACAGTTTGCTTGGTGTGTGAGCAAAAGAGCCAGCAACAGAGCTGGGGAGATAGGCACTCATTAGAATTTGGCACCAATTTTAGGCTGGGTGCAGGGGCTTATGCCTGTAATCCCAGCACTTTGGGAGGCCAAGGGGGTGGATCACCTGAAGTCAGGAGATTGAGACCATCCTGGCCAACATGGTGAAAACCCGTCTCTACTGAAAATACAAAATTAGCTGGGTGTGGTGCCACATGTCTGTACTCCCAGCTACCTGGGAGGCTGAGGCAGGAGAATCACTGGAACCCAGGAGGTGGAGGTTGCAGTAAGCCGAGATCATGCCATTACACTCCAGCCCGGGTGACAGATTGAGACTCCATCTCAAAAAAAAAAAAATTTAAGCCAGGTGCAGTGGCTCACACCTGTAATCCCAGCACTTTGGGAGGCCAAGACAGGTGGATTACCTTAGGTCAGGAGTTCGAGACCACCTGTTCAACATGGTGAAACTCCACTTTACTAAAAATACAAAAGTTAGCCGGGTATGGTGGAGCACACCTATAATCACAGCCACTCTGGAAGTGAGGCAGGAGAATCACTTGAACCCAGGAGGCGGGGGTTGCAGTGAACTGCTATTGCACCACTGCGCTCCAGCCTGGGCCACAGAGTAAGACTCTGTCTTAAAAAATTATAGAAACAGGCTGGGAGTGATGGCTCACGCTTGTAATCCCAGCCCTTTGGGAGGCCGAGGCGGGCAGATCACGAGGTCAAGAGATCAAAACCATCCTGGCCAACATGGTGAAACCCCCTGTCTACTAAAAAATACAAAAATTAGCTGGGCATGGTGGTGTGCGCCTGTAGTCCCAGCTACTCGGGAGGCTGAGGCAAGAGAATTGCTTGAACCCGGAAGGCGGAAGTTGCAGTGAGCTGAGATCGTGCCACTGCACTCTAGCATGGCGCCTGGCGACAGAGCAAGACTGTTTCCAAAAAAAAAAAGAAGATAAAAAA